AATTTGGGGTTTCAAAAAACATAATTTCAAAAATTAAAAAACAAATCAAGTATGGCGTACTAGTATTTATATCTTCAATTAATTCTATTTTCAAAGTTCATTATATACAAAGTTCAGTATTAAAATAAATATACAACAGAAAACAAATCTAAAAACACAATAAATTAAAATTTAACTGTTGTAAATCGTTTTAAAAATCTGGATTTCATGCAATTTAGTAAATCCAGAAAATACAGCAGATATAAATTCAAACTGTGGCTTCCTCATGGACTTGGAAACTCTAAAAACTCTTTGAAATGCCTTGCCATCGATTACTGTGATGCATATTGTACTTCACACGGTAAGCTGAGACTTCTTATACTAGTAGTGAACAATTTCTTTGTCTTCTTTCTTGGAATTATTTCACAGAGTTATTTACATTGGTTTCGTTTTCTTGCAATTTATTTCAGTTACACAGTATTTAACCGCATTAGAGTTTTACTTATTTTCTTTTTCAGACGGTTCTAGCATTATTAATCTTAATCGGCATATGAAATGGGAGGATGCCAGGAAAGAGTGCAACAAATTAAATAAATCTCTACCCAACGAAAACTTCCCGTTCTCTGACCCAACCCAGTTCAAAATGAACAGCACAGTGTGTCTTGATGTGTTTAAAAATTCATCCGTATTATTTCAACCTGTCGTAAAGCTTGCATCAAAAGAAAATGGAGGGATAATAATCAACGCTTCTACTAACCATTCGATGAGTCTGCAATATTTATGTGGGACAAAAATAGGTTGAGTATCAATGTTTAAACAAATGTACCAGAAATAATTGCCGTGTCTTTTTTTTTCTATATGCAAATTATCCCAAAAAGAAAATCAAGATTTAATGATAGATCATTTACTTTTTTAAATATTTATAGCCAGAATGACATGTTGATTGCTTAGTAAGGTGTTGGGGATGGGGTGGAGATGGTGGTGTTTATTTTACCGATATATTATAGTAATACTTGATAGTAGAAGACAATTCAAATTTACATCCATGCCCTTCATTAATTTTACTCGTGTGTACATAAAAACAAAGTTAATAAATGGTTATCCTCCCCTTCACACAATGTTTCATGAACTCTGTGCTTAAGTAAAATTTAATATTTTTTTTAAAACGATAACGTTGTATTTCATGGACTGCTTATTTTGTAGTATAGTATATTTTGTATTATATTTTATAAAATAATAATAATAATTTAATATTCAAAGTAAAGATAAAACAAAAAAAAAAACAAAAAAGAACAACAGAGGAGGATTCAGTCTTTGGTTTCTATATATCTCTCTAAGAAACAAGTAAGACTGACAGACAGACAGACAGACAGACAGACAGACATTCAATTAATTTAAGGGGACTAATAAATCACTAAATGAAAATTCCGAGTGATCATTTGGAAGAATTTATCAATAATTCTTCATTTCTATTTTTGAAAGTACCATAAGATACATGTAAATACGTATGAACATATGATGCATAAAATTTTCAACGAATATAAATATCTATAGACTTGTTTGTCATTGATTTCCTTACTATATACATGTGAAGAGATTCGTGATAATTTGTCATCAATTTTTCGATATATATAGGCCTACATGTCGTCTAAAAAACAAAAGATTGTATAAAATGTGATAATTTGTTTGCATGGTATTACTTTTCTTTTTATTTATAGACACAGAAGAATCAAATTACGGACTCTGTAATACAACAACAGAGGGTTTTCACGAATTCTTTATTTAAAATACATTCTTTTTCAAAAAAACTTTAAAATTTTTTTAACAGAGATGAACCGGATAAAAGTTATTTGTAATTTTTTTTTGTTAAATTTTGGTAGCATATTTTAATTTGAATGTAAGAAGAAAAACATTTCTATTAATAAGTGTGAAAATACCAGACATTAACAGGCTAGTATGATGAGTCAAAATCGGGTATTTTTGCAAGTTTTCAGTCATTAAATTTTGAGGCAGATAGACAAAGGAATTCAGTTTTATAGTATTTCTTTTTGCACTACGTCAGATTCTGAGCTATCCAATGTTCTTTCTTATCATTTTCCTTCATTGACCGTCCTTGAAAATAAACAACATATGTACGTGCAAGACAACACGTAAGTACAATTTTTTAACTGAACCAGGTAGGTATAAAGCAGTATACTTGAGAAACCGCCGTTCAATCAAATGCAGTAGACGGATCTAGTAACTGCAATTCTCCATATTGTTTATTCAAAGCCAAATTCCAATCGAAATATATTGGATCTGTATAATACACTGTAATAGTATATAGTTCAGAGACTATTTATGTAAAGTTTCTTTTTGAATAAATACCGGTAGTAGAAATTTAAAATTCATTTATAACTACACGTAATTCGTATTTCTATGCTTCTTTAACATCGATCGAAATGAAGAGTGAAAAGAAGCAGTTAACTGAAATCTATGTAATTTCCTGAAAACTAAATCATCATGAAATCTAATTAACAGATAACCTTTTTTATTTTTAAGCCGACGATTTACGATTGCCAGTCATCATCACATCCTCCGTTGTTGGAGTTCTTCTGATCGTTATGATATTTACTTGTTTCATCACAAGGTTAAATGAATCATGTAAAAAAACATTAGATTATATGGCGAAATATATTCGACAAACATTCAATAATTTATATGTACATGTACATTCTAACTCTTAAAAAACAATAGTACCCTCATGAGTTTTCGTGGCATTACGGTTAATGTGTAATAAAGTGCTTCAAGACTGAATAATTGAGAGGTTTGCTTTTTATCACATATACAAACAATAATTCTCCTTATTTTCAAATGATTTTAACTCACATATTATTTGTTATTTGTTCAGAAGGTCATTGAATTCTTGCATAGTTGCTCTTTTGATTTTTTTGCTGACGTCATATGTTATAAAACAAGTAAACTATGGAAATCTAGTCGGGCAAAATCCTTATAAAATTTACAGTGTAAAAAATTCTGTTAATTGACAAAATGATTACATTATTCGACATGGAAATTTATTTGTTGTTAATTATGACCACACCTATCTAGGCGTGCCTAAGCTGTATTGCTAAATAATGTAAAAATTTTCTCTTTCTCAAGAGTGGCCTAGAAGTAATTTTGTAAAGCTTTATTTAAATGTTTCATGTTTGAAAATATAAATTTCATGTATATTCAAAGAAATTAAATGTTTAATTCAATTGATTATCAATAGCACAATACTTTTTTATCATATAACTTTTTTACACCCCCGATATTTTCTTTGAAAATTATAAAAAAAAAAAAAAATGACGTTACTAGATCACCGTAGAAAAAATATCAAAAGTGGGAAATTCCAAATTATTGTCACATGACCGGTAGCTGTATGGATAGTTAACAGACGATGATATGTAGGATCGCCGGCTATTAGTTTGTAAGTTTGGTATTCTAGTTCAAAACACGACGAATAAGCATATATTATGCAAATTGTCAAATTTGCGAACTATGCATAACTCACACGCTATATTTTTTTTTGGCAAAAGCAAAAAGGTTTAACATTTGGTCATAAAACATGCACGGGTTCCCCTTTATTGATAGCAAATATGACGTCATTTCGATCTCGCATTGTGCGATTATTCCTAAAAATTAAAAAATAGCACGAAAACGTATATACCACGAAAACACATGACGGGACGGTATTAACTTCCTATATGAATCATTGTAGGGTTATTAAAAGAAAAGGAAATCAAGAAAAAAGTTCCACAACAGAGGAAATCGTTACGTCAGGTCTTTATTCTGAACCGATTCCTGCATCAGATGAAAACCAAAAGAAAACAAAGGATCACATCACAGCTGAAGACGAATCAGCCTATTCTGTAGCTGATACTAACGACAGTGAGTACTCACAACCCCTCGTCAACAGGGACAATCGAACGGGACAGATGCGTTCTGCGAAAAATGTTACCACTTCAGACAGTGAATATGCTGACACAGATTTGGGTGAATATGATGTTTTAAGAGGACAGCGAAAGAAACACTCCAAAAATACATCATCGAATTGTGATATTTATGACAGGACAAATAATGTTGTCACCGGTATTTATGACGTCACTTCGAACACGCTGAACAAGAACGAATACTCAATGACAGATAATGATTTAAATCAATAATGCATGGTTATATAAACAAAATGCCAAAATATAATATATAATATATTTATAAATGATTTTTCATTAGGCATTAAATATAGTACATATACTTTAGTATTTGTAATTACTTATTAAGATGGAGATTTCCTTAATTAAAATGAAAATTTGAAATTTTTGGAGAACTTTTCTTTATGAATGTATATACATGTATTTTTAAATATTATGCAAACAGTACAGTTTTATTAAAAATCATTAATTATAGTAAGAAATTTTAGAGTTATCATTTTAAAGTTTTATTTTTTTGTCATTTAACTAATAGTTTTGTTACCCACTGTTGTACTCTAAGACTTCCTCTATGAAATCTGTTTTACATCAGTATGTCCTCATTAGATTTTGATCAAGCCATGAATTGAACGGTTTTGGTTTACAATGCAGTGAACAGAGTATTCATTTCTTGAACCCTTAATGACCGTGAATCTATTGATCATGATCACCTCTTTCTCAATGCAATATGAAGTCATTGATTGTGTCATTTTTTTTACCATATCCTGAATATTCCTTTCAAAATGACCAAAGGTTCTTTTTTCTATATTTCACATAGAGCACAACCTCTGATCCAAAATATATGCAATAACGTAACAAAAGTCCTGTCTCTAAATATCTTAAAACATGTCTTAATTTTTGGATCGAGCTCTGTGCTCATATTTTAATTCTTTGCTGCATGTGGTTTAATGTTTTCTACAAAATTCAAATTCGTTTTCACAATCCTGTTTTCAAATGCCTGGATTCTCAAAAAGAAATTTTTCTTAAAGGAAATGAGAGCCCTAGATCTCATCTTTAGTTTGATATATGAAATGGGACAGAGGGTGATAGTCAGTTAAGTGATAGAAGGACAGGGTCATTTTTTTGCATAGAGTGAACCTTGCTCTTGCGTTCACTGATAAACCTTTTCTACCTCCAGTTAAAGCTTTTAATTTCTTTTCATAATCACGAGACTCTCAATTACATAGAGAAGTAAACTGTCTTCTGATGCTTAACTTGAAATCATACAATAATTATTTTATATTCTTAACTTCTTAGAAACTTTTTTTTCTAATTGTTTAATTAATTCTCATGCCAAGTCATTGGTTTTGAATGTGAAGAGTATTGAATATTTCCCTTCAAAACCGTTTAACCTGAATAAATCAAGGTGTAAACTGTGGTTATATTTGTTTTGGCTTCTATCTTGCTTAAGTTTCCAAGAAATATATTTTTCTCGAATCATTCTTTTACAATGAACAAATTGTTTTAGAGAGTGTTTGTAAAGGAAAGCATTAATACCTAAATGTGGAGTAGCTATAAAAGAAAAAAATTGTTAAAAATCAGTAATAAACGTCTGTGTTCAATGTCTTAAAGAAAAATATTTAATCACGTTTCACAAGTTCCACTCAAAATAAAAATTAATGTCAAAATAAGGAAACAAGAGGCCCATGGGCCACATTGGTCTCCTGAGAAGCTTTGACCATTCTGTTCTTTACGAGATTTCCCCCTTGTACATAATGCATCCCCACCCTACCCCACTGATCATAATTTAGACACTTTGAAAAATTTTCCTATATATTTCTATGTAAAACTTTGATTCCCTATTGTGGCCCCGACCTTCCCCCGGGGGTCATGATTTGAACAATTTAGAATCTACATTATACCAGGATGCTTCCACATAAGTTTCAGCTTTTTTGGCCCAGTGGTTCTTGAGAAGAAGATTTTCAAAGTTTTTGCCTATATATTTCTATGTAAAACTTTGATTCCCCATTGTGGCCCCGCCCTCCCCCAGGGGTCATGATTTGAACAATTTAGAATCTACATTATTCCAGGATGCTTCCACATAGATTTAAGCTTTTCTGGCCCAGTGGTTCTTGAGAAGAAGATTTTTTAATGAACCCACCCTATTTTTGTCTTTTCTTGATTATCTCCCCTTGTGAGGGGACTTGGCCCTTTATTTTAACAATTTAAATTCCCCTTCACCGAAGAATGCTTTGTACCAAGTTTAGTCAAAATTGGCCCAAGGGTTCTTGAGAAGAAGTCGAAAATGTAAAAAGTTTACAGACGGACAGACAGACGGACAGACGGACGGACGGACGGACGGACGACGGACAAAATGTGATCAGAAAAGCTCACTTGAGCCTTCGGCTCAGGTGAGCTAAAAATATCTCTCTTAAAAAAGCAAAACGTTTTTCCTGCAACCGTCCGCCATCTTTCTACACCAGGAAGCCAAATTCTTAAAAACAAAAGGGAAGAGGAAAACTTTATACATATTCTAATACAGAGAGTACGAAAAGGATGTATCGCTCAATTCACCGAAATCTACTTGAAATCAAATTTGTATTCCACTTGAAGAACATGCAACCATGCTAAGAAAGTGCTAAATAAATGGAAGGTTATATGCTTTTTTCACTAATTTGAATCCAATATAGATTTTTTGAGACCCACTACCATATATACCTTATCTCCAGCCACCCTTCAGTCTTTTCGCTGAATCCAATATGACATAACGTACCATGCTAAATAAAACCCCATTACATTCCTGCTTCATTTGGTATGAGAAATCTACATAATGTGGCAAGTTACTTTATGGATTCATTAAAATTCGTGAGGACAAATTTTGGTGGATTTGTTTAATCTCCTACAGGTTTACGGAGACGTAACTTCTCGTAGTCTCTTATACCTGCATACGGAAATAAAACTTTGTAACCCTTATCTATGAATTTGCAGAGAATGTCCATTCTTGTATAAGAGGTAACCACCAATTCCGCATAAATTGAGTCACCACGAAATCCAATTTTTCCATAGTACATTCGAATCCTATCTTTCATGAATTGTACGAGGAAGATACTTGTAATGGATGAGTATATAACTAGCAAATTTATAAAGAGTACTTCTTCCGCATATTCTGTTGACAGTTTCCCACAACTTTGTTTCCTATTTTATCTATTGTCCATATATTTTTAA